AAAGATGTGATAATACTTATATTTATTATTTTTTTTTTTTTGTTTTTACAGTGCGTCACTTTGAAGATAAAGGTTGAGAAAGGTGCAATGACTTAACTTGCCTTTCTTCTTAGGTCTCATGTGAATGAACAGCATGTAACCTCGTTACTTACACTTACCTATGCAGGTTGCCATTAGTGTATAGTCTTACAGTCAATTGGGTTTGACCCCAGTTTTCCGTATCAACTGATCCCTAAATGGATTTTTAACTGATTACCAGAATTGGATAGAGGGCTCACTTCAGCCACAGTGATTGATGCACTGTTTTTACTAAACACTTATAGGGTTTTACCCTATTGTTAACTTCTGAGATCAAGAGATCGGGTTCTTTTATGAATAGTGGCTTTGTATTCATAGCGTCAAACTCATTCAGGAATTGAACCTGGCCTCTAATCCTAATGGTAATAAGATCAGATCTACAGCTGCGGCGTGCAAGTCAGTCTGTAGTACACTCCAGATCTACTAATGACTGGTTTATCACTTTCTTACTTATTGTAAGGACCCCTGAATTTGAAGACGTGAGATAGTATCTATTACAGACCTATCAGTGAAGGCCAAGTTTCTGTCAATTCCTAGTTTTATTTGCATCTACTTGTTCTTCAAACCCAATATTTAGGCATGATAAATGTTGATCGACAGATCGATCAACCAGTTTCTAACGCATATTAGTTTATACGCCTACATGTTTAGTTACATATGAAATTCTTATGAAAATCATCTAGTTTTATGCCTCAGCTAAGGCCTGAACTTATAGCTATCACAGTGTAACCCACAATAGGAGTTCAGTTGTTATCAACTGAACTAAGGACGCTGATCCCCAATACTTATATTTATTATAAAAAATTTAAATTCAGTAAATAAATACATAAAAATTTTAAAAATCAGGTACAAAAGTAGAAAAAATAAATTGAACTACCTAAAATGTCTTTGCAAATTAAAAATTTACTAGCTTCAGACTAACTAGTTATCCTACCATACTTAAGAGACAATTATTAACAGAATCTCTCTCAATATACAATAACTAAATTATTATTACGTCTTCTCTTTTTTCTAATAATAATCCTATCCTAATTTTAAATTCAATACAAAAACAAGTAATTCGAATTATTATTAAACTAAAAAAGAAGCTAATAAAAAATTTAATTCTAATAAGTTTCTAGCTAAGTTGTTTGATTAATTCCTAATTATAAAGATCTTTTAACACAGAAACGCTTATATCACTAAATTTCATTAGAGACTCTTCAGTACTCTTAAATTTTCATACTAAAATGTTTGTTAATTCAGATTATAGTTACCAGCAAGTATTACATGATGTCTAAATCATATAATTATGAGAAATCAAAAAATCTCGTTAAGATCAGCAGGCTCTATAATATCAGAAATTTAAAAAGAGTATGATTGTTTAGAAAGGTAATAGAAAAATTATCATATACAATTGGTTAATTCAAAATTATTATTAATCCTAATTATTATTTGAGATATCCTCTGATATTCATTTTTGTGAACAAAAAGAAAAAAAAGAAAAAATAGAAAAAATAGCTAAGAGAATTTGCAAAAAAATATTTTAACAAATAACATCATAGTTTGAACTAATAAAAACCTGTATTTAGAATAAAAGGTTTGGAAAAACAAAAAAAGAAAGAAGTTTATAAAAAGTTTTATTTTTGTTTGCAGGCTAAGCTGTGATCATCCTTAAATACACATATTTTTACGTAAAAATTCTTAGTTAAGTGATCACTAGAAAGAGTTATATTTTTATAATTATTATTATTTTTTTTTAAAGACGTGGTGATGCAATATTTTATTATATATGAAAAACAATTTCAATATAAAATACATGAAAATTTCAAGACAGGTATAAAAGTAGAAAAATAAAAATTGCTGCCTAATATTCATTACTAAAAAATTAGCTCCTATCAGACCAACCAGTTGTTCTGTCTGATTCTGATTATAAAGATTTACTGAATAATCATTAATATCAAACTAAATAAAGGATTATTAGAACAACCTATCTAAAAAGAGGGACCAATGTTAACCATATTTTATAAGAGTTATTAATTAGAGTAATATGATCTAGGGTATCTGTATTATTGGCAAATAAAGTGTTAGAGAAATTATTAATGGAAAAATTAACATTAGATGTAGCAAAATTGCTTTTCTTCTGATATTTTGTTATATGTTAGGATCTTTCTTTGTCTAAAGTTAAAGCACATCTAGTTTTTTATATATTGTTATAGACTTGAATAAAAACAAAATCGAAAAAAGAGGAAAGGATAAATGAAGTAGTAGAAGAAGATTTGGTGAATGTTATTAAAGTTGATGATAAAATAGTAGGAGAATGCCTTTTATAAGGTCGATAAAGAAGAAATCATGTAATTTGCTTGTAGTGACTATATTGAATATGAGGGTTTAAAAGATTATTGATATTGTTTGCAAACAAGATTTGGAAGTATAAATAAATAATTGTAATTTTAGATAAGCTATGGATTCAGAGATCAGAGATTGCATATTTTGTCTGATAGTAAAATAAAGTCAGATATGGTTGAAGTCTTCATTGTAGCTATTACAATGATAGCATTTTCAGAAAGGTAAATATAACTGAGGTTGAGTGGCTTTTATAAATTGAACTATCAGAAGCTGTTTTAGAAGAAATTTAAGTTTTCTACTATGATTTCTTGTTTCAACAAAAGATGTGATAAATGCTGATCCAGATTGAATGAAGTGAAAGGTTAGAAGCCAATTCACTTATAGGTGTTAGTATTTAGTGTTTTATTTGAGGTAATAATAATCAGAAAAGTGTTTAGTATTGGTATAATCTTTTAAAAATGAACGTAAAGGTGATGTATAGACATATTGTTAAATGTAGGTATATAGTTAATGAAAGGAATATGGTTTAGGGATAAAGTTAGGGAAGAGAGAGGAAAGAAGATTTTGCTAAATAGTTAGCCTTGTCATTATATGGATTATTAGAGTGTGCAGCAACTTTGAAAAGAGAAATAGTGATTTATCATTTCTCAATAACTTTAAAAATAATTAAGTAGAGCGAATCTGAAATTATATTCAGAAAGGTTCTCAGCTATATTTTCAAAGCCTTCTAGTTATAAGAATCCACTATAGAATTTAAAACTCTAGCCCAAATTTGAGCATTTCTTGCTATTCAAATATTTGGTATCAAATTTGATATTAAATTACCCTGAAGGATATCAAAAATAAATCTATCTCTTATAGTCTTTCTAGTCCAATTTTAATCCCAAATAATATATCAAAAAAATATACTGTTCTGTTTAGGTTCAAAATGAAGCAATATTGGCAAAAACTAAAAGTTTAAAGCTAAGCTCATAAGTCTCTGCAAATCTTCTATGTAAACTATTATTTATGTTATTCTAGAATTAATTCTAAAAAGAATTCGTTATCATCTAGCAAAGTAAAAAATTTACACCTAAGTGTGTCTTAAGTATAAATTTTTTGTATGTATACAAGAAAGTTAAAAAGCTATAGAACATATTCAAGTATACTAATATTTTTTGATATACAAGAAACTATTCTAAAGCTATTTGCATTACATAAATCTAAGGTCAAAAAAATCTAACCTCAGATGTAAAGGTGATAGAAAATTTTTCAAAGAAAGTTAACATATTAAACTTCTAGATAAGTACCTAAAGTCCTATCCTGAAGGTTATTAATATATTGTTACATAATACCCATTAACATACTTTCTACAAAGCCTAAGTTCAGAGCTAATCAGCTTATCACAAATCCTACAAGAAAGACACTTCCTAGCTTTTCAATGTTCAAAGCATTCTTCAGGCTGACGGCAGGTTTGCCCACAGATTTCTCCAGTTCTGAATAAATAGTTGTAAGAATATTTACCTATTATGGTAATAAAAAATAAATATTTTAAGAGTAAATTTATTCCTCATCTCAGGTGAAATAAATTATTTTTCATCCCTTATAATTTTTTTTGTATGCATTTTTTATTAACAACAATTATTATAAAAAAAATAGCATTTATCAATATTTATTATTTAATAATTAAAGCTAAAATATCGCAAATATGCTATTACTATAAGATTAATACGATCTTATGTTATTACTAAGTAAAACTAATAAAACAATACTTTGATCTCGCACTATAAACACATGATTAAGTATCGTAACCTAACCCTTAGAATAAGTACTACGATAATAATCATATTCTTCACATAAGCCATACTTATAACATCTATCAGATATTGCTTGTTCGCCTCTACCTTTGCCTTTTGAATCTGATTTTTCAACAGATAGCTTCAACTGTTTTGTTGGTGGTCTTCCTTTAGGCTGACGCTTCAATCGATCTAAGATCTGATTAGAATCGATCAATACTCATTTTATATTACAAAAGACCTAATTGTCATTCATTTTTCTATCTGCTAAAGCTTTTTGTTGCTTAATCGATTCTGCTTGAATTAGTTGAGCTTCTTTTCTTTATTAAAATCCTTGATAAACTGAATCAGTTCTTTATTATCATTTTGAATTGCAAATTGAATTGCCTTTTTGGCTTCGCCTATTAGAGTATCAAATTTTAATTGATTTCATGATATTTGCTTAGAATACCTTTTTGAAAGATTATTTATGGTGTATTTTCAGGCAAATTCTAAAGTGATTTGTGCATTATTTTAATCATTTTAGCCATTACTTGTAATTGTCTCACTAGAATAGATATCACTTAAATTAATATATTTATCCTTATACTAACGCTTAAGAATCAATATCAAATGAAAACATGCATTAGAAGATTCAACAAACACTTTAAAGAAATGCCTGCATATAATATCATGAGTGATAAGCATAAAACAGATGCATAAGTATTCTCTAGTATTAAGTAGAATTATATATTGATAGCATTTCAGGTAATTGTATCAAGAAATCTTCCAAATATCATTAAAACTAACCATCAAAATCAAAAACTTCAAGTCAAGCTTCTAATCCTCGTCAGCTTCAATAAGAGATTTAGTAGAATCTTCTACTTTATCAAAGAAAGGTTCAAATGAACCATCATCTGATACTGGAATTTCAGAAAATTGTACTTGATATGTACGATAGCATACAGATTGACACATTTGTTTATAATATGCATTGTAAATTAACTGTGTGAAATATTTATTTATGATACTATCAATGCTATTAAAGAATGTTTGTATGATGAAAGGTTGTGTGTACTGTAATGTTGAAGCTTTCCAGATTGAATAACGATTGTTAATTGACTCAAATTTCAACCAATTTTTAAGAGATTTTTGAACTTGTAAGAGAGAAAAACTTGACTATACAGCCTTTTTTATTAATGCATTTTCTAATTCTACACGCTGTGTAGATTGTGTTTCTGCTGTGAAATATTATAATGTAAAGCATTTTACCCAAGTATGTTTTCAATTCAATAGCATTGTGGTTATATATTTGCTTCCTGCCTCATATTTTTCAACTATCCTTTTAGTTCATTTTCAAATACATTTTCACAATAAGAGTGTTGAATTCCTTTAAAATCTTTAAGGAATTCCTGATAAAGTAATGATCCTAAACATGAATGAAGGTTTTTTGAAAGATTTTGATAGAGATGGTATAAACATTGCATATGATGAGTCTCTGAAAATACTATAGAAATGGTTGCAATTATTGCAGGATCAGCATCAGTAACAAATATTAATAAAGGAATTTCACATATTTCAAGACAACATCGAAGTAACCATTCATATAATTTTTGTCTTTTATCCTACATGAATGCTTGAGCTGCCAACCTACTCTTATTATAGTTATCGATTAATATGAAGAGACTTAGCGGATAGTTATATTTATTCATTCTTGCAGTGTTATCATGAATAATAATATCATAAAATTTATCTACCTTTCATGCTGCTCTGGTAACATTCAAAAAATACCAACTAACCAGTTACTTGTGTCATCTATTAATAGCTTTACAAATTATGCAGGATCATTAGCTTATAATTCAAGAAGCTTCATTAATAGAGATGCTGTTTCCCTTAAATTCAATCCCTTTTCTCGTTTAATTTTTTGAATTGCATTCCCTAGGTCTTGAGTAAAAAACACACAATCAGGATACTTTAGTTGAAGGAGGTTTCTAATTATTTCTACATCACATTGGCTATGTATAACATAAAATTCTATCTATTTCATGATTTCTTCAGAAAAATTTTTGTAAGTGGTAAAAAATTTCACAGTTTTAATAGAAATCTCATGATTGTATTTATTATTAAATGACGTTACAATTGCTATTAGTGAATTTGATTATCTATTAATGTTTACTTGCCACATACAGCCTTGCTTTTTGCTTTCTTTGCTCTTTTCTTTACCTAATATCGGTCTTGAATATTTTCAACATATCTTCCTTTCTACAAGTACCATTTGAAAAATTTTTCAGTTTTGTACTTAAAGATGGCAAAGTTATTTTGAAGAGCGTATTGTTCTATAAAATGTACTGTAATTTCTATAAAGTAAAACTTAGTTTCCAACTCAATTTCAATTAGAGTATTGATTGGTAAAAAAAATACCGTTATAACCTTCAAATTTAGAGCCTAGTGTAGGTACAAAAAGTAAAAAAACACAAATGTTTGACAAGTAAATAAAGACCTTCTATAAAGGCTTCAGAGGTAAGCATGTTTATAATATTAGAGCAGATGGAATAGTCATTTATTACTTGTGATGGATATTAAAATAGTACTAAAAATTTTTGAGAAAAAAAGCTCAAAAAAAATCCAGAATACCACCGGTCAAAGAAATTGGAGAAAGAATTTTTGGAGGGAGAAAAAACTCCAAAGGAAAAAAAAAACTTTGGAGAAAAAACTTTAAAGAACACTACTGGTTAAGAAAACTTCAAAAAAATTGAAAAGAATTTTTGGAGGAAAAAAAAAACTCTAAAGAAAAAAAACTTTGGAGAAAAAAACTCAAAAGAAAGAAGCAAATTGTCAACATCAGTAAAGAGGACTTCAAAGAAAAATAACTTTCAAACTTCTCTCTTCAAAAAAAATATAAAGAACAAAAAATGCTGGAGGAATAACAAAAGACTTCAAACCTTTAAAGAAAAAATCCTTCAAATTTAAATCCTTTGCAGATTAGAAAAAAAAAAACTTCTCTTCTCAAATTCTAGTAGCAAAAAAGTCAGAGACAAATAGTATAAAACTCTACCCTTTATTACAAAACTCTTCGTTACTGTTAGAAAAGAATCGTTGTGGCTTAGAAAGCAAAGAGTTTTATGCGCAGCTATTTTTTTTATTTATTATTATTGAAAATTTAACCCAAATCTCTGATGTAATTCATCAATCAGCCAGTCACGTGAAATGGGGTAAGAAATCACCTGAGTGAGGAATAAATTTTTTCATATTTTAATTTAAACAAAAGATTTTGTAATATTAATATAAGCACTAGAATAGCAATACTTTCATTATGAGTACACAAATTCAATTAGCTGAAATAAAGCCTACATATCAGGAAATCGAACAGGCATTAATAAATATCATCAAGGCTGGCATTTATTATAGAAGGCCAAAGGAAGGTAAATTCATGTAATCATATAAAGAAAGGATCAATAAATTATGTCAGGCAGAGGATTCTAAAGAACATGTTTCTCAAACTAGCTATGACTATATTTCCTAATGAATCTAAATATCATAAAGTTAAAGGTGACTACAAAGAATACTATGATCGAGATCTAAAGATTCTTAATGCCATTATGGAATTATATAAATTATACTATAAATTAGCTAAGGATTATTTTATTACAGATAAACAAGTTGATGAAGAGACAGAAGACTTCCTATCATCACTTTAGAAGTTTAATTCATGAGTATTCACTGTAGTGGCAACTCATTATCAGGAGGAATGACCATCAATTCCTCTCTCATAAAGGATCTTTTTGGATTATATTTCTCATTATTTACCAGCCAATATAAAACCGGCTAATTTTTTTGTACTAAAGATTCATAGATATGATAAACTTGAGGAGACCAAATCATATCTTCAGCACATCTTCTTCTACCTTCTAACTCACCTGATTTAAATAAATATCTTACAAGAATATCATAAGTTAATTACTTTTTATCAAATCCTATAGGTCTATTTCGAAGCTTAAAAGGTTTTGCATAAACATGCTTCAGTTTTCATGCATTAGCAGGAGAAATATCTAGAAGACGAGTTACAGAATTATCAAGATTCTCAAGAAAAATTAGAAGATTTTTAATCCAAACTTAACAATGTTCTGATATAAGTAATCTCATATCAATAGCATCTTGAATAATAGATGACCATTCTTGTAATGTCTTATTAAACCTTTTAACAACCCATACTTTCTTTAGAATTAGCTATTAGAATATTAATACCATATTTATTTATTAATCTAATAACATTATTCCAAAATTCAATACCACTATCTATCATTAAAACTTTAACTTTAGACCAGTCAATTGGACATATTCGAGATTTAAAAAGTTTCTCAAATCCTTTAACCATGCTAACAGAATCACGTTTAGTTAAGGGATATATCTATTTAGTATGAATAGTAATATCTATATAATTAAGTGCGAATTTGTAAATTTTATTTACAATTTGGTCATAAAGCATATAGCATAAGTCAGCTTGAATAACATTTATAGGTGTAGTAACATTAATGAAAGATGTATTTAGAATAAATCTAGGATGAGGCATATGAATTTGGTGAATAGCCTATCTTTTAAGCTAATCCTTAATTTCATTTAAACTAAAATCATATCCAGCTGTTTTGTGTAATTTTTTCACATTTCACTGATAATAAATTTTGTATAAAGCTAAAGACACATTCACATTTTGAGTCTTATCAGAATCTATTGGAATAGAAATCAATGGGAGTTGAGCAGGCATATCTTGATTTACTAGACAGCAATTTAGAATTACGAATAAAGTTGACTAAAGAGAAAATTATTATTATTAAAAATAAGAAAAAGATTCATAAGCTTACAAATGATCTAGAGCAATATAAGCTATATTAAATATCTTAAAAAAAATCTTATCTCACGAGAGAATGAGTTAGATAGATTAAAAGCAGAATACTGCTCTACCCTACATAATCTCAAAAAATGTCAGAATCATTTAGAGCTAAAGAATGAGGCATTAATCACTCAAGATAATCAAATCATTTTGTTAGAAGATACAGTAGAAAAGCTTAAAAGCCAAATTTTCAAGATATCACTTTTCAAAATAATAGTAATAAACCTTTTGAAGAAGAACATTAAGAAAATATGGCACTACCAAATATCTTAAGAAATATTAGTACAGCTTTAAACTGGATTGAAGGATATATCAATAGTGGTATATCATTTGACCCAAGAAATACACTAAACAAAATATGGATCTCAATAATAACTATTCGAGGGCATAATCAAAGGTATGTTTAGGATAATGCTAACTTATAAGGTTTGCTTAATGCATCCTATAGGCAAATCAATAGATTATGAATGATATGACAAATTTTAAAAATGATTGTCTTTGAAGAATACAGATAATAAAGCAAGCATAGAGGGATGAAAGATAAGTCTGACAACAAGGAGATGATGAAATCATTAATCTTAGAGATATGGTTAGGGTTGTTAAAGTCTTAGGTCCTAGACTTAAAGACCCGGTTTTAAGACTAAGTCTGCAGATCATTAAGTCTAATTTTTTAGACTAATAGAGACTAAGTCCTAAAATAGGTCCTAACCAATTAAATTTTAGTTAAAAAAAATTAAAAAT